AAAAATGTATGAAAATTTGAAATTAGTAACAGGTATTGAAAAGATGAGTCTTCAATCTTGTCTTGAAAATAGCAAGAGTTGGTGCTTCTCTTACACTAGAAGGTAAGCTGTTCCATGGTTTTGGTGCTGCTACGTGAAACGATCTTTCGCCATACGTTTTTAATCGGCATGCAGGAACTTGCAGAAGAGTAAGGTCTGCAGAAGATCTAAGGCGCCTGCCACAGTTAGCTGAACGAAGGACGATGAGGTTTGAAATATAGGACGGGGTTAAATTGTGAAGTGCCTTGTATGTAATAATCAGGATTTTGAATATGATTCTCTGCTTCACAGGTAGCCAATGCAGACGTTTTAGAACAGGCGTTATATGTTCAAATCGTGAAGTATTGGAAACAAGGCGAGCAGCAGAATTAAGTTGAAGTTGAAGCTTATGGATGAGTTTTTCAGGCAGACCATTAAGTATACTATTGCAGTAGTCCAGTCTGGAAGTAATAATTGCGTGCACAAGCTTTAGGGCAGCATCTTCAGAGAGAAACTGACGAATGTTCTTAATATTTCTAAGGTGATATGAAATAGACTTAGGTAGTGTTGATGTGTTTGGATAGGGTCATTGATTCATCGAAAGTCACTCCAATGTTTTGAACAACATTCGAAGGCATGACCATGGAGTCACTTACTGACACATGATGAATTTCAGGCGGGGAATTCAGATATTTTGAATGAATAAGAAGAGTTTCAGTTTTATTGGAGTTGAGATACAATCCATTTTCAGAAAGCCATTGATGCACTGCTCCGATACAATTTTCCATTGTAGTCTTAGCGCTGTTACATTGTTCTACAGTGGGTTTAAAGCTGATATACAGTTGTGTATCATCAGCAAACAAATGGTAAGTGACAGAGTACTGATGTATTATGTTACCAAGTGGCCGCATATACACGAGGAACAGTAAGGGTCCGAGGATTGATCCTTGTGTTACACCATAATCAACGTTCATATATAATGATATTGTATGATTGATGTAAACAGCTTGCTTTCTTGATGTTATATACGACTTGAACCATAAGAGAACCGTCCCACGAACACCAATGGAGTATAATCGGTTAATGAGAACAGAATGACTGATGGTGTCAAAAGCTGACGATAGATCAAGAAAAACTGACAACACACAGTTTCCTTTGTCAATTTGCATCATTATATCATTATGCATCTTCAAGGTTGCCGACTCAGTGTTATGAAGCTTACGGTATGCAGACTGTAATGGATCATAATGGTCATATTCATGTAGATATCCTGTAAGTTCACTTGCAACAAACTTTTCAATAAGTTTTGAGAGAAATGGGGTATTTGTAACAGGACGCTAGTTGGACAGCACATCAGGGTCCAGTGTAGGCTTCTTTAAAATTGGTTTGATGACTCCAAATTTGAGGTCACTAGGAAAAATACCAGTTGATAAGGATGAGTTGACAATTGATCGATAAATTGGAATCATAGTGTCTATAAGAGACTTCAAAATACTTGTTGGGAATGGATCTAATTTAGAACATTTGCCGGGCATGGAATCGATTAACTTCAAGCCATCAGCGTCTTCAACAAGTGAGAAATTTTCAAATGTGTGGTTGTGGATCCTCTCAGTATTCTCAAATTGGATAGGCTCCGGAGGAAGTTGTCCGGATCTTTAACTGGCATGCACTTACACCTGCAACCTATGAGATACTGTCTCTTATACACATCTAGATGTGTATAAGAGACAGCTTCCAAGCAGCTTATTAATAACTTGAAAGAGTTGCTGTTGATCAGCTTTACAATTGTCAACAAGAGAAGAGAAATGAGAAGATCTAGCAGTGTGTAGAGTTTTATGGTATATATGGCATTGCTGTTTAAACCTAATGTGATCATCCAGTTTCTTAGTTTTCAACCACTTGCGTTCTAGTGCTCGTCCTCTACGTTTTTCAGAACGGCAGGTACGGTTATACCATTCAGAGTTGGAACGAATGATGATTGTTTTCTTTTTCAGTGGGGCCAGCTCATCACGAAGGCCAGTGAAAAATGTATTGTACAACAGCACTGCAGAATTAACATTGATATCATTAGTGAATTTGGCTAGTGAGTCTGTAACTCTCTGCCTTACCAGAGAGAGATCGATGTTTCTCCAACTTCGAAAGATAATGTTTAGTGTTGACTGTTTGTCTGAATATATTATGTGAAGTTTCTCGGTTATGCACAGGTTGCAGCGTTTTGTTTTTGTGGAGTAAGCCGATGCTATGTCGATAATAGAAAATTTAATGTTGTAGGGTGTGTTGCTATCTTTTAATTTCCATACGTATTTGGAGAGTACAGTGCTGTTTCTGTGTTTGGGGGTGTTAAAAGTGTATTTGTGGTTTGTGTATCAGGTTTTGAACGGTGTGTCAGTGAGCCCGATGTATCATTTTTTGTCATCATTTGAGTAGGCAGTGGCTTTGTAGATGATGAATGAGGTGAGGCAATTTCCAGAGAGTGCACATTCATCTTTTTTCCTGCAATTGCAGAGAGTTTTTGGCTGTTGTTGCTTAGCAACCAGAAGCTGTTTGTTGTGGGCTTTGATTATACTGCCCATGTTTCTTGAGCAGCTATAGCTGACTTTGACATTGTTAAAGAGCTTATATATGTATATATATAACAGGTAACAGGTACCCATATTAAGTTTTCCTTTTTGCCTTAAATAATTTCCGAAATTTAGCATTATTACTGGCTTTATCTAAGAGCAATTTTTTGTTTTTGTAATGTCTTGTTTTGTGCGAAATGAAATTGCAATAAAAAAAAAATATCATTATCATTGTCATTCTCAAGTTTAAGCCTTTAAAATACTCCTCAAAATATGACATATGGCTATAAATTATCACATTTATAATGATTATGTCGATATTTTCAGGTCATATTCAAGGCCACTGTTGGATCGATTCCGTTTAATTCCTACATTGGTATAGACAATTTGGAAGTCTACGGTGGAGAGTGTCAATCGAGTAAGTTCATTAGTGTACGGTAAGAAGGGCCCCGGAAAAAGTGGCCCCGGAAAAAAAGGCCCCGGAAAAAATGGCCCCGGTAAAAATGGCCCCATATGACAGGTAGGTAAAAATGGCCCCAATAATCAAATTCTGTATTAAAACTGATTTTCTTGATTCAATATATGCATTTTTTTATCTTAAATAATTTAGTTTTTAAAAGGAATCAAACATCAAACAAATTGCCATTTACATTTTACTTTTTGCAAGAATTAACATTCAATGATAAAATATTCAAAGATAAATAAAAAGCCATGAATTACACTTTATATTTTTTTTCCATTTAAATGTTAAATAATAGCAACAACATAATCAATAAATCAACATAAATCATGCATTTATTAATACTAAAATAATTTAATTGTGGCCGATTTCACAGAAGCGAAATCACAATTTTCCAAAAATTCAATCTGTGTATTGGTAAACCCCACAAACAGTGGGTTAATATGAACATCAAATTATTATTATTTTTTTTTAAGAAAAAGAGAGTTCTACAATCATAATTATATGGTTTAGATGGGGTTTGCAGTGTGTTTAGAGGTTTGTGGTGTATTTGCAAGTATTTTTTCATAATAAATCTAAATTTTAACCAAAAAATAGTTATGAATGTATTTAATTTTCTTATTGATATACCAAGTCAGTTAATCACAATTGAATTGTTTGATTTTTTACAGTGTGTTTTGGGAGGTTTGTGGGATTTAGCAATACCACTTAATCCTACCATAATCACCCTACCCTCACAATCACACGCCATTTTAATTCTCAGCATAATTGCCATACATAACTATATATAATTCTAAGCCAGTAGTAGGCACTTGGATTTAGTTAGTGATGAGTAAAAACCAAGTATGCAACTAAATTAGTTGCTAAATAAATGTATTCCTAATGATTCAGTTTACTAAAAGCAATACTTCTTTCAATAAACTCTAAGCAGACAATTTATTGCTAAGTTTGTGAGAAAGTAAGCCTCTCCCTTTTCCCATACATGAACTTGTTATCCACATGCTTTAACTACTGTTTATTTGCATTGTTTATAACATGTAAAGTTAATTCATTTGCTATTTAACAAAAGTGAAGTTTGTGGTTATCTATGAGTTGCATATTTTGGTAGTTGAAGTACTGTATACTGTATGTCATTCCTCTACTTTGTTAGTGAAATAACGTTTTTAAAACTTTTATTTCTACTATCAAAGAATATTATTCAATGGCCATTGTTTTGAATGTAGGTAAGAATGGCTCCGGAAAAAATGGCCCTGGAAAAAATGGCCCCATATGATAGGTAGGTAAAAATGGCCCCAATGAAAAATTCGGTAATAGAAATGATGATGATTATCATCATCATCATCAACAACAACAACATCTTCATCAGCATGAATATGATGATGATGATAATAATAATGTTAAGGAGATAATTAACTTGAATGTAGGTAAGAATGGCCCCGGAAAAAATGGCCCCAGAAAAAATTACCCCGGAAAAAATTGGCCCCGGTAAAAATGGTCCCATATGACAGGTAGGTAAAAATGGCCCCAATGAAAAATTCGGTAATAGAAATGATATATTTTTTTTTAATCTTCAAGAATTGAATCAAGAAATAAAAAATGGCCCTCAATTATAAAATTCAAGAAAAAAAAATTAATAATAAATAAATAAATGCTGTAAAATACCCTGTAGCAAATATTTATTTAATGAAAATAAATCAACATAAAAACCTACACTTAACAAACAAACTGATTCAGTCAAAGCCAAACTGTTTATCTTGTTAATCTGCTAAGAAGGGCTAATTATTGCTTAGCTCCAGTGTGGCTCCACACAGTAGGCCCTATTGATATGTAAATTAATTACTTACATCCTGTCACTGCTTGGTATTTTTGTTTTTAGTTTTTTCAATTTACTTGATCTTGAGAGTGGTTCCATGATGGACCCGAAACGTCGACCTTTCTTGTCATTAAATTTTGTTTTGAGATTATGTTCTTAATTGATTTAATAAATAAAAGCCACAATTAATAATTTGATTTACTAAATTTCATTATGTAAAAATAGTTATGCTTTAACATAGATTAAAAATATGTTTCGCCTTACTTATTTTTAATCTATGGTCTTTTAAATTAATTTTCTATTTTTTTATTGGAAATTCCGTAGTGCAGAGTAAATTTATCAAAACCCATTAGGTTTACTGTAATATGAAAAAATAAAAATTAGTTTATACAGAAATAGTATCTAAAATGATCTCAGTTTCCAAAGTTAAAGCAAGAGATCTAATGTAAACACACAATATTAGGCAGGATGTATTTGTTTGGAAAAGAACCCACTCTTTTGTGAAATTAAGAGGTTTATAGGTGAAAATTGTAAATTTAGAAATAAGTTTTATTTTTTCCTTTTAACTGAGATCAATATGTGATTTTTTTTTATGTCTTGAAAAGTATTTGTTTTTTTAACAATTACAGCAAATGCAAATAATGTTCTGAGAGATAATCGAAAAACAATGGCCATTGAATAACATTTTTTGATAGTAGAAATAAAAGTTTTAAAAACGTTATTTCACTAACAAAGTAGAGGAATGACATACAGTATACAGTATTTCAACTACCAAAATATGTAACTCATAGATAACCACAAGTTACTTTTGTTAAATATCAAATGAATTAACTTTACATGTTATAAACAATGCAAATAAACAGTAGTTAAAGGATGTGGATCAATTGTGTGTTTGAATCACAAGTTCATGTATGGGAAAAGGGAGAGGCTTACTTTCTCGCAAACTTAGCAATAAATTGTCTGCTTAGAGTTTATTCAAAGAAGTATTGCTTTTAGTAAACTAAATAATTAGGAATACATTTATTTAAGCAACTAATTTAGTTGCATACTTTTTTTTACGTTTTTACTCATCACTAACTAAATCCAAGTGCCTACTACTGGCTTAGAATTATGTATAGTTACGTATGGCAATTATGCTAAGAATTAAAATGGCGTGTGATTGTGAGGGTAGGGTGATTTTGGTAGGATTAAAGTGGTATTGCTAAATCCCACAAACCTCCCAAAACACACTGTAAAAAATCAAACAATTCAATTGTTATTGACTCACTTGGTATATCAATAAGAAAATTAAATACATTCATAAATTTTTTTTGGTTAAAATTTAGATTTTTTATGAAAAAATACTTGCAAATACACCACAAACCTCTAAACACACTGCAAATCCCATCTAAACCATGTAATTATGATTGTAGACCTCTCTTTTTCTTAAAAAAAATAATAATTTGATGTTCATACTAACCCACTGTTTGTGGGGTTTACCAATACACAGATTAAATTTCTGGAAAATTGTGATTCCGCTTTCGTGAAATCGGCCACAAGTAAATTATTTTAGTATTAATAAATGCATGATTTATGTTGATTTATTGATTATGTTGTTGCTATTTTTTAACATTTAAATGGAAAAAAAAATAAAAAGTGTAATTCATGGCTTTTTATTTATCTTTGAATATTTTATCATTGAATATTAATTTTTGCAAAAAGTAAAATGTAAATGGCAATTTGTTTGATGTTAGATTCCTTTTAAAAACTAAATTATTTAAGATAAAAAAATATATATTGACTCAAGAAAATCAGTTTTAATTCAGAATTTGATTATTGGGGCCATTTTTACCTACCTGTCATATGGGGCCATTTTTACCGGGGCCATTTTTTCCGGGGCCATTTTTTCCGGGGCTATTTTTTCCGGGGCCATTTTTTCCGGGGCCATTCTTACCGTACACCTTGTTTTTCGATTATCTCTCAAAACATTATTTGCATCTGCTGTAATTGTTAAAAAACAAATGCTTTTAAAGAAATAAAAAAAAATCACATATTGATCTCAGTTCAAAGGAAAAAAATAAAACTTATTTCTAAATTTACAATTTTCACTTATAAACCTCTTAATTTCACAAAAGAGTGGGTTCTTTTCCAAACAAATACATCCTGCCTAATATTGTGTGTTTAGATTATAGATCTTTTGCTTTAAATTTGGAAATTTAGATCATTTTAGATACTATTTCTGTATAAACTAATTTTTTTTTCATATAACTATAAACCTAATGGGTTTTGTTAAATTTACTCTGCACTACGGAATTTCCAATAAAAAAAAAGAAAATTAATTAAAAAGACCATAGATTAAAAATAAGTAAGGCGTAACATATTTTTAATCTATGTTAAAGCATAACTATTTTTACATAA